TTAATTCAAAGTCTAAGCTTTGGTCTTTGTTCATTTATGGCAGTCTCCCAAAATATTTGTTTTATGGTGTTCTTTGGAACTTTTGATTCATCTATCAAAACTATTCTATCATCTAGTGCAGTATTGTTTTTTACATTAGACACTGGGTTATTTAATTGTCCCGGAGAAGAATTTCCTCCACAGTGGCTGGAATTGTTTGGACCCCGTTCAATTTGGGGGCCTGCAAGAGGTCCCTTGAGGCATTTCCCGCCAGTAAAAGATTGCCTTTTATATCAATTGTTGATCTACATTCATTGGTCCAGTGTCGGCCTTTTCCACATCTTCTACATAATTCAGAAGGTTAGAGTCTCCCATTTGTGTTATTTCTAGAGGGAGTATTGCTTCCAGGAGTACCCCATGTACAGTTTCTACTCATATGACCTGGTGTACCACAGTTAAAACATTTGGTACCTTGAGGTCTCCTTCCACCTCCGGAAATTGCCTCCTATCCAAGCCTCATTACCATAGTTAAGAGACTCAACATCATTTTTATATTGAATCCATTCTTCCAGAGGTGCTAATGTGACCTTTAATGGTGTAAGTATTCTTTTGTATTCTGCATTAGCATTGTTAAACACCAAAGATTCAGTTAATACTTGTCTTAGTTCTTTGTTTGACACTGATTTTTTTTTTTTCTTTTTATAGCTGTGGTCAGCCTTTGTGAAAAATCAGTGAAAGTCTCTTGTGGGCCTTGGATAATTTTTATGTATAGCTCAGTTGGTTTTCCTGATTCTGGAATTTTTTCCCAAGCATTTAGAGCTGCTGTACGACATAGGGATATTGGATGCTCATCAAAAGTAGCTTGTACATTTCTATCAGCGAAACGTCCCTCACCAAGAATTTGATCTTGGGAGATCTCAAAACCTCTGGTCTTCCCTCGTTGTTCTAGGATCCTTGCTTCCTCTCTCAATCAGCTTTTCCATTGTAACTGCTGGCTATATTCTAGAACAACTGAGATTAACTGATACCAATCATTTGGTATGGTTGTTTTTGTGGAAGACCATGTATTTAACATCTGTTTTACATATATTGAGTGTATATCATGGTGGTGACCACCACTTCCTTAATGTTTTTTTTTTTAAATCTCTCATAGGAGTAGGTTGCAACATATATTCTTGTGGTATTGTATTCCCCCAAATATAGTGCATGCTAATAAACTAATCTTGGGTCAGAGACAGAGCAGCCACAATATTAAACATAAAAGAGAGGCAGTGGTGGCACACGCCTTTAATCCTAGCTTTCCAGAGGCAGAAATCCATGTGTTCAAGGATACAGACAGGCATGGTGACTCATCACACCTTTAATCCCGGAAAGCAAGCCTTTAATCCCAGGGAGTGGTGGTAGAAAGCAAAAAGTTGTATAAGGCGTGAAGACCAGAAACTAGAAGCATTTGGCTGGTTAAGCTTTTAGCTGGTTAAGCTTCAGGCTTTTGAGCAGCAGTTCAGCTGAGAGCCATTGGGATGAGGACACAGAAGCTTCCAGTCTAAGAAAATAGGACCAGCTGAGAAGTTGGCCAGGTGAGGTTAGCTGTGGCTCGTTCTGTCTCTCTGATCTTCCAGTATTCACCCCAATAATTGGCCCCGGGTTTGATCTTATTAATAAGAACTGTTAAGATTCATGCTATATATTCTACATTTGGCTCAGGATGTCTTTCATCTGCCGGCTTCTCACTGATGATGACAGGATAAGCCATTGAATGAGAGCTATCTGGCGATGTTATGACTTGTATGGCTTTGCCCTTCTGCCTACTAGTTCCTTTGTCATGTTTACTGAGAGTTTCTTCCAGAGCTTGTACCCAAGCACCTAGGGTCAGTTGCAGCAAGTGAATCTCATCTGTTGTAAGGGATTCCAGAGATTTCATGGAATCATGCAACCTTTTATGTTCTTCTGAAACATGATTCCATAAGCCTTAGTTTTTCAGTTAACAATAATCTTTCTTCCTTATAAAGTATCTGAATAGCAGCAACATTGCTCTGGGTAGTTACTGTTTTTTCCATTAAGTATTCATATTTATTATCAATAGAATAAAATCTGGTTGTACATTTATTATTAATGGACTGAATTTTTTTTGGGGGGGGGCGTTTCGAGATGGTTTCTCTGTGTACTTTTGGTGCCTGTCCTGTATCTCACTCACTCTGTAGACCAGGCTGGCCTCAAACTCACATAGACCCACCTGGCTCTGCCTCCCCAGTGCTGGGATTAAAGGCATGCACCACCACTGCCCAGCATTTGGACTGAAGTTCTTATAGTAAGATAGCAGATTCCAGACAAAGGATTTTTTTATTTAAGTCTTCATTGCTACCTTGTAAAGCCCGTGTCAGTCTCAGTAATGATTCATCTTTGTTATTTTTATTAAACCAGTTGTTCAGTGCTATGTGAGTTATTGTACTAAATGCTATAAATATAAATATGACGAAAGTCATATATGTCCTGTAAAATTTCATTCATCATACAAGCAAAAGTTTTTAAATTCTTGTGATGTAATATTTTCCTTCATGTTTTGAGAAATATTCAAAATTTGTAAAGAAAATTTTATTAATTTGTTGATTATTTAGTTTTAAGGTGTAAAATTATCAAATACTTTTACCCTGGATGAAACCCTTGATTGCTGGTGTTTCAGCTCTTGCGATGGTTTTTTTGAGTGTAGTAGCACTGTTCAACCAGCAGGTGTTGCAGGTGTAGCACTGAAGCAGGTCCTGCTGGTGACTTAGACCTGTTTTGGCTTGAAGAAGTATTCAAGCAAATCCTACTGGCATGCACCACAACAGGCTGCACGCCTGTGGGAATGCAGGGTGGGCCAGGCTCAGCTGCTTACTCGGGGAATGGATGGCCACAGCTTGCGTGTATGACCCAGGGAATACCATGTAGCCACAGCAGGCCAGTGGGTCTAGGGCGGCACGGGCCAGCGGCCCTGGATGGCTCAGGTCGGCAGCCCTGGGGCAGTGCACCTCTTCTCAAGCTATCACTAGGTATACTCAGCGGCTATGGGGAACCTGGTGGGGGAGAGGGGGAGTCTGTAAGCTGTAGCTCAAATAAGGAACTGATGCCCAGAGAGCTGGGAGGAGGGACGGAGGGAAGGAGTAAGAGAGGGAGGGAGCAGTACCTGCACGACTGTGGGCCAAACAGGTCCCCAGGAGGGTGGGGATTTAAGAGATAGAAAGGTGTGGAAAGCATGTCACAGCAGCTGTGGAGGTCACCTGAGCATTCGGAGTTTGCCCTATGTGGGTGCCAGATGATGCAATTAAATCACTACCAATCCACAGAAACAGCTTAATATGAATTTATTTGGGGATTAACTCACAGTACAGGAAACTCACATTACAAAAAATAGGGACTAAAGCATGGTCCAGCGCTGTTCTCCGGAGAGCTCTGCCCTGATCTGCACAAGCATCCAAGACCACAAGGTAGTGAAGAGAGCGAGCACGTACATCATCCCACGTCTTAAAGGGCCACGCCCTGGTGGGGGCAGGTACCTAACAGTTACCTGCTGCCTCACTGGGGCAGTGCTTCGGGGGTAAGGCACAGACAACCACCCCTACATTAGAATCTTTTTATGCCTTGGGATCCTCTGACATCATACATGATTTATTTGAAATTTGTATATCTTACCTGACTGGGTAGCAGCCCATAGTCATAACTACTTGGAAGGCTGAAGCACTGAAGCTCAAGAGTTTTAGGCCACTTTAGGCATCTTAAGTAAGATGCACACACTTGGTTTCAAAAATCAAAATGTCAGGTTGTAAGTGAATCCCAGGCTGAGACAAAAGGACTGAGAATTCAACGACAACCTGGGCTTCTATCTCAAAATGCCAGTAACTAGCATAAATGAAAGCACATCATTTTGTTCAGAGGTTATGAGTTTTTTTAGTTACAAAGTTAACAGGGATATGTGAGAACTAATTGAGAAGGTTGATTGTGCTTTTCAGACCTCAGAGTTTAGATTTCCAAGACATTTTATGGTATGCTTCTATCTTGAATTCCTGCCAGAGAACTTCTGTTCACCCTTAAGGTATGCACATTTCTGTTTAGCCCCTTGGATGCAGTGTTTGGAGATACATGTGCAAGTAACATTTAGATGAGGCATCCTGTTGACTCTAGGAAAACCTTTAAACCTTTGAAATATGTAAACTGACCTCTTCCTGGAACGGTAGGCAACATATAAATTGCTGCTACATCTAGAATGGATATTGGAAAGATATGGGTTATTACAGGCACCTTGAGAGCAAGAGAGAAAAATCTCTGGCCTGTCAAGTATTGTGGGATATTTTTCTGTATGCTATGAATATGTGTTGCTGTTATTGGTTAATAAATAAAGCTGCATTGGCCTATGGCAAGGCAGCTTAGAGGCAGGCAGGAAATCCAGGCAGATATACGGGAAGAAGAAAGGCAGAGTGAAGGAGACCCTACCCTGCCATCCAAGGAACAGCATGCCAGCAGACCAGTTAGTCACGGAACATGTGGCAAAACATAGATTAATAGAAATGGGTTAATTTAAGTTATAAGAGCTAGCTAGCCGTAGGCCATACAATTTGTAATTAATATTGAGCCTCTGAATGATTATTTTATAAGTGGCTGAGGGACCATGTGGCTGGGCGGTACTGGAGAAAATTCCAACTACATTCAAGCTTTTATAAAGAGTCATAAACTGAGCTGGGCAGTGGTGGCACATGCCTTTAATCCCAGCACTCGGGAGGCAGAGCTGGGCAGAACTCTGTGAGTTTGAGGCCAGCCTGGTCTACAGAGCGAGATCCAGGACAGGCACCAAAACTACACAGAGAAACCATGTCTCGGGGAAAAAAAAAAAAAAAAAGTCATAAACTAATGATGAGAAAATAATCAGATACACTAGCTTAATACTAGAGGAAGGTTTCTTATCTGAAAGTTCTACCAGTTCCACCCCACCCTCACCTCTCACCTCAAAGCAAACCTCACAGAGGTTTCTTTTCCTTTCTCCACCACAGGTAACAGTCCCTTGGACAGCCCCCGGAATTTCTCTCCAAATGCTCCTGCTCACTTTTCCTTTGTTCCTGCCCGTAGGTAAGTTACTTGAGAACCTCCTCTGACTGGCATATATGTGCCTGTTTTTTTTTTTTTCCTTTGTGTTAGCCCTGTCTGTCCTGAACTTGTCCAGGCTGGCCTTGAACTCAGAGAACTGCCTGCCTCTCAACTGATAGGATTTCCCATTTAGAACTAAATACCAACTCTAACAACACCTTAAAACCAAACAACAAGCAAACAGACCCCATAAATTAAAACTTGAAAGTTTGGCTAAGAGAGCATCTTAGAATAAGTTCTAAAAAGAAGCCACATATATGTAGAGAGCCTTTAGCAGAAGGTCTGCAGGGATTCTGTCAGCATAGACTTCTTCAGAGGCCACTTAATGTGGTCTAGCCATGGGTGGAGCTGTCAGAGTTGCTAGGAGAGGCCAAAGACAACACTATCACCTGCAAACAGGAGAGAAATTGGATGTACCACATCCTTCCAAACTCAGGTGATAAGTGAACCTATACTCTTTCTGTACCCATACTTTCAGATCAAAGCTGAAATATATAACCCTTGCATTTGGGAGATCTTGTGAATAAGGCAGCCTGTATGGTTTGTGTAGTAAGTTCTAGGCCAGCCAGGGCTACATAGTGAGACCCTGCTTTTTTAAAAACAAAACAACAAGAATAAAAAAAAACAACAAAAGCTGAGAAGAAAGGTATATTAGGTTCTTTTATCTTCTTGGAACTAGATGGGATACAAGGTAAGAGTGTTATTTTAGATCCTTCCTGGGACCGGAGCCCACTTTCTTATCTATCATAGAATAGAGAATAACTCTCAATTAAGGTATAATAATATGGAATATATTCTTAGGGCACCAGTGTCTTGTGTTTAAGATTATAAAAAATGAATCTACTATTTTTCTGTTCAGCTGCAAATACAACACAACCACTTCAAAAGCAAAACTTGAACATGGTAATTATAATCTAGGAAGATGACCCAAAAGGAAGCAGTTTTGATGGCTGGTAGTTCAAGGTAACCCAATCCACAAGAAAGAGCACTGATTTGAAGGAAGACTCTGCCATTTGGAAAGCACACATCAGCTAGGAGGCAGTGGTACATGCCTTTAATCCAGCACTCAGGAGACAGAAGCAAGAGACTCTCTGAGTTCGAGGCCAGCCTGGTCTACAGATCGAGTTCCAGGATAGCCAGGGCTACACAGAAAAACCTTGTCTTGGGATGGTGTTGGGGGGAGACTACTTCCTTCTTTCCTTCTTTTCTTTCTTTCTTTCTCTCTCTCTCTCTCTCTCTCTCTCTCTCTCTTTCTTTCTCTTTCTCTTTCTTCCCTCCCTCCCTCTCTCTTTCTTTTCTTTTCTTTTTTTTTTTTTTTTTGGACAGGGTTTCTCTGTGTAGCTTTAGAGCCTTTCCTTGAGCTCACTATGTAGCCTAGGCTGGCCTCAAACTCACAGAGATCCGCCTCCCTCTGCCTTCTGAGAGCTGGGTTTAAAGGCGTGCACCACTGCCACTCAGGCTTCTTTTGTTTTGTTTTAATAATTTATTTAGTTTGGTTTTATTTGCATTGGCATTTTTCCTGCATGTATGTCTGTGTGAGGGTGCCAGATCTTGGAGTTAGAGACAGTCATTAGCTGCCATGTGGGTGTTGGGAATTGAACCCTAGTCCTCTGGAAGAACAGTCATTGCTCTTCTGAGTCATCTCTCCAGCCCGGGACTACTTTCTTAAAAGGTGTAGCTGAGGGTTGGCGCTGTAATTCAATTGGTAGAAGACTTGTGTAATGTCCACAAAACACAACATAAATGAGGTATGATGACTCACATCTGTAATCCTAGCACTCAGGAGGTAGAAGCAAGAGGAATAGAACTTGGAAGATCATCCTCAGCCACATATTGAATTGAAGACAGCCTGGGCCACGTGAGATCCCAGCACCCAGATGGCAGCTCACAACTGTCTATAGTTCCAGTTCCAGGGGCTCTGACACCCTCACACAGACATGCAGGCAAAACAGCAATGCATATAAAATAAAAATAAATAAATCATTAAAAAATAAGGCAGAAACAGAAGAGATTGATGGAACTAGTACTTACTATTCACATTTCAGCTGAGAAGAAATACATCCCATTTCTCCCTAGAATACTGTATGGCTGAAAAGGATAGGTGAGGAGGGCCTTGAAGGCTCACTTTAGTGCTTCTCTCGTTGCTCAGCTCAGTTGCCTTACTCTGAAGAAATCTCATGTGGGTTTCTGTGAACTCAGGTGTCTCACATAGCTTCCATCTGGTTAATCAAGGTTTCAGATGGGATCATCCTATAAGAATGTGCTGAACTGATAAAAGTGAACTTAGTATCAGATTAATATGGCATTGGATTGTTTCCTATTCATGCAGTAAGTATTTACTGAGAACAAACTTTGAGCCAGGCTCTTTGGGTGCTTAGTTATTCCATGGTAACTCAGTGAGCATACACTCAGCTTTCTGGAAATTTCAGTCTTACTGGATAATCTGTGTACTTGGCCTGGTATAAGGAAATTGTCCCCCTACATCTTAATGTAGTTGACTCATTCTTGTCATTCATATCTTAAATGTTAGCTCCTTACAGAGAACTTTTCTTTTTTCTTTTTTTTCTTTTTCTTTTTCCCCTGAGACAGGGTTTCTCTGTGTGGTCCTAGCTGTCCTGGAACTAGCTCTATAGACCACACTGGCTTCAAACTCATAGATCCACCTGCCTCTGCCTCTCTAGTGCTGGGATTAAAGGCATGTGCCACCACTGCCGGGCAAGAGACTTTTTCTAACCACATAGTCTGAGCATTCTTTATCAATCATTCCATTTCATTTTTAGTACTTTCTAGTGTGTGATATTTTCTTGCTTGCATGTTTTCTATCTTGCCTTAACTGGAATCAAATTATCTTTTAATTAGAGCTCCCTTAAATGTATTGAAAACTGCCTCCTGGTAAATAAATAACAAGCACTTAGTGCTTATTGGTCAGATGTATGATGCAAGACAGTAAATGAAGAAGCAAAGGAATGCATAGTTATAAACTAGGGGTTGGAGGTTTAGCTCAGTTAAGGCCCTGGGTTCATCCTCAACTCTGAAAAAAGGGCAGGGAAGACAAAATTATAAACTAATAAATACCTTAAATTGAAGGAACATGATGCTGCATGAAAGAAAAGAAAGGAAACGGGGTCCCCATTGGGTGGAGACATAAGGCCCCTCTGAAGGCTAAGAAGTAGTAGCTACTGAATAGGGCACAAGGATGAAGACAGAGACTATTCTAAGCAGAGGGAATGGCAGGTACTGTTGATGCCCTTGTAACTGCTTCATTTAGACTTGAAATAGGAACAGCCAAGGGGCTTTGAAGCCTGGTATTAACCAATGTGACCCAACATGTCTGGGCTAGGGAATATGACATTTGAGTTGTTGTCATGGAATGTGAGTCCCCAGGCAATCCTTTTACAGAACATATGGGTGAAATGGCCAGGTGTATAGAGTAAGGATCCCTTTTGGATCAGATTTGTGTCATATCACAGAAAAGGCAGACTTAATTAAATGCTAAGGATAGACCATCTGTCATACAATTCTACTTCAAGCTGCTACACATTCTTGAACAAAAGGTTTACCTCTGCCAAACTATACAAAATACTGGGGATTGCATTGCTCACACTGGTTCCTTTTGACTCTCATGTGACTCTCATCTTTTCACTACAGCCATGGTCACAGAGCAGACAGGTAATAACGGGTGTGATGGGGGGATGGGATGGACTACTGCTGTGCATGGCCAGTCAGTGTAGCTTGTGATTTTTGTGTTTGGTGGGAGAACTGGTTGTGATGATTTCTTTTCTGAATGTGGTTGTGAACATTAAGCCTTTCTAGTAAAGAGGCCGTCTGGGATTTCAATACTACCTGTTGGAACTCAGACTCAGAAAGCTCATGGTTGGGGGTAAAAATTGCTGACTAATTTCCAAGCTTTCAAGCCTAGGGACAAATTACCCTCATTCTCACATATTTCCTCAGTCTCCCAGTGAGATGAACAGAGGAAACAGATACCAGTAGTCACATTTCATACTGACTTTGGTCCCTGCTCTTCAATATATACAGAAAAGTAGCTACCTTGCAAGTGGTTTCCTTTTTCTCTAGTGCAGTGGTCCTCAACCTTCCTAATGCTATGACCCTTTAATACAGTTCCTCATGTTGTGGTGACCCCCTAACCATAAAATTATTTTCATTGCTACTTCAAAATTACAATTTTGCAACTGTTATCAATCATAATGTAAATATCTGTGTCTTCCAGTGGTCTTAGGTGACCCCTGTGAAAGGGTATTTTGACTCCCAAAGGGGTTGCAATTCACAGATTGAAAACTGCTAATCTAAAGGATTGAAAATCACCTGTGCAAAACCAAATTTGACAAGTTCATAGGAACTCCATCCTTGAGTTATACTTGACTAATCTTTGCCAAGCTCTTTTTTCCTGGACTTTGAGTGGCTTTCTTATAGACCACCCAGGACCCATCAAAGAAGGAAGATAGATCATCATGTTTTAGCACCTTTCTGGTGTTTTTCCTCAGAGACTGAGTTCCAGCAGAGTTCTAATTTACATGAGCTGTCTGTCTGAGTAGCATGAAATTTGAATCCTGTGCATGTGGCATGGAACCTTCAACTTTTCCCTTTGCAAATCATGGTAGAAAAGCTAAATGATATTGATGAGGATGAGGAGAAAGACTTAATCTATGCCCTGCTATAACAGAGACCTTGAACAAATAGACAAATCTATGAAAATGTAACCGGAGCTTAACTTCTAAAGATCTTCCATTGTTGGTGTTTTAAAATTCTGTGAGTCAGGGCTGGAGAGTTAGTGGTTAACAGCACTGGCTGCCCTTCTACAAGATCTAGAAATATCCACATGGCTTCTCTCAGCTTCAGTAATTCCAGGCCCAGGTGAGCTGAAGCCCTCTTCTGGCCTTCGTTGGCACTGCACAGATATGGTGCACAGACATACATGCAGGCAAAACACCTATACACGTAAAAATAAATTTTAAAAAAAATTTAAAAAATATCCTTTGAATAGTAGCAAGGATGTTTTCATTTAGCTTTAACTTGAAAAGGATATGTCACCAAGCTCCAAAGAAAGAATATTTCAGGACTGGCAAGATGGCTCAGCAAGTTATGGTACTTGGCTGTCAAACCTGACAATGTGAGTTCAATCTTTGGAATCCACATGGTAGGAGAGAACCAACTCCCACAAGTCATCTTTTGATTTCCATATGTGCACCCCTTGTAAAGGATCTTTGGTCTTCCTAGGCCGGTGGGTTGACAGAAAGGAGTGGACAGTATTTGAGACTGAAGGGAATATCCATCAATAGTCAAGAGTTACAGGCTACCTAGGATCCATTAGGACTCACAAGCTGGCTTCAAGAATATTTGTCAAGGAGCAGCAATGACCTTGTGAAAGAATAGGGAAGCAACTGTTGGCTGTTTATGACTTTGGGGGAGCCTTCCCACTGTTGTCAGAAGGATGCCCCTAAGACTGTCAACACAAGAAACCACAGTTCTGTGCTTTACTGTCATGGAGGAAAGTTAAGCAGGTATCTGAGCTGCAGCTTTTATAACATGGATGTGTAATTATTTATCTGGATGGTGCAATGTGGCATAAAGTAATCTTTTTAAATGTTGTTTACAATTATTTATCAGTGGTTTTGTGTGTGTGTGTGCGCGTGCACGCGTACATGCACACGCACGCACGCACAATAGATAGAGCATAAATGGAGGTAAGAAAACAGTACATGGGCTTTACTTATCTTCTTATCATGGATCCCTGGAATCAAACTCAGGTACTCAAGCTTAATGGCAAGTATCTTTTTTTTTTTTTTGGTTTTTTCGAGACAGGGTTTCTCTGTGTAGCTTTGCACCTTTCCTGGAACTCACTTGGTAGCCCAGGCTAGCCTCGAACTCACAGAGATCCACCTGCCTCTGCCTCCCAAGTGCTGGGATTAAAGGCGTGCGCCACCACCGCCCGGCTAATGGCAAGTATCTTTACTAGATGAGTCATATCACCAACCATGTAATATGCCTTCCTTTAAAAAAAAAAAAAAAAAAACTTTTGTTGTTGTTGTTGAGACAAGATCTCATTTTGTAGTCCAGGCTGGTCTGTAACTTGCTTTGTAGACCAGGCTGCTCTCCAACTCACAGAGATCCTCCTGCCTCTGCCAGATGCTGGCATGAAAAGTGTATACCACCATACCTGGCTTTAAAAAAACAAAACAAAAAGGAAAAGCTTTTTATGGACCATCAAGATGGCTCAACAAGTGTCGGTGCTTAGTATTGCCCAGCCTGCTGACCTGAGTTTGATACCTGAGCCCTGCATGGTAGAAAGAGAGCCTGTTCCTGCACATTTCTCTCTTACCTCTACATACATGCTATGTCACATAGGTACCCACACACATATGGACATCCATGCACACAACAAATTCAAATACAATTTTTTAAAAGCTTTAAATTGATTGTGTGTGTATGTGACAATACAGTTGTCGAGGTCAGAAGGCAACTTATAAGATCTTTAGTATATGGGTACTGGGTTCAAACTTAAGTTGTCAGGCTTGGTGGCAAACACCTTTATCTACTCAGCCATCTGACTTACCCATAACTGATACTCTCATCCAGAGTCATAGACTCTTTAGTTTTGGATTCTCTTAAATAAAAGTCACACAGCAGGTCCCATACAATAGAGAGGTATGAGAACTAATGCCAGACAGACAATATGTCTTGTGTTGTGAGACAGTGAATTAACTGCCTAAAAATGTTAATGAACACAAGCAGGCAGGCCCTGATGCTCAGAGTAGGACTCTATAGGCACTTCATAATATTCCTTTTTTTCATGTAGGACTGATGGACGGCGCTGGTCTTTGGCCTCTTTGCCTTCTTCAGGATATGGAACCAATACTCCTAGCTCTACTGTCTCGGTAAGTAGCCAGAGCTGTAAGCATACCTTCTTCACTCTGGAAGTATTTCCTTACAGATAATTGTTCTCCATCCAGTCCTGCAAAATGATGCTCACCTTTCTTTCCAAACTCAGCAAGATTTATTGAGGATAAGAGGATTTTTTGAGGGGAAGAGCCTTGGTAACTTTCACAGTCATAATTATAATTATAAGGCCTTTGGAAGGATTAGCCAATTCTGTCCCCCAGTTCCTCCTAGTGAGCTCAGAAAAGAGCAACTAATCACGGTTCTCTGCTTCCCCCCACCTTATTTCTCGGATTGCAATTAAGTCTTTCTGTTCCTCCCATTTCCCAAAGGCTTGGTAGCTTTCATCGTTAAAACCTTTCAAGAAGATTACTTTCTATCTCAGTTTGTTATATTAACAAAAAGTAGACCTGTCTCTAAATGTTTGTTTTAGAGAGAGTTTCTATTTTTAAACAGTAGTTCCTGCCAATATGCTATTGTATGTACAATTGATCCTGAAATGCATCCTCTTCTTGGAGCAACTTTTTATCAGTTAGATGATAAAGCTGACAAATTTTGTCAGCAAAGGACCAAGTAGTGTTTTAGGATTTGCAGAGTATAAACTTGGTGACCCCAGCCCTGTTTCTTCTACCAGTCTTTAGGTCCTCTCTGCTTGATGTATCTATAGTCATGAATCACAAGTAAGAAAACGTACTTAGTTCTTCCATTGGCCTATAAGTCACTATTAATCCAGAGGTTTTATTGGTCTTTGGCAGTTAAGCTTAAGATTTTTTTTTCCCCTAAGCCAGGTGGTGGTGGCGCATACCTTTAATCCGGGTACTCAGGGAGGCAGAGGCAGGCGGATCACTATGAGTTTGAGGCCAGCTACAGAGTGTCCTACAGAGAGGACAGCCAGGGCTGCTCAGAGAAACCCTCTCTCGCAAAACAAAAACAAAAAGATTTACACCCCCTTACCCATAATCTTTTACTTAAACAGAATGTATTTTGTAAACCCTAAGGGATAGTCAGTCATGTGTCTTTCTGTGTGTATATATGTAGCACATAAGTATTTCTATTCATTCAAATTTAATAGACCAACCTATTACTCCAGTTTATTGGGATACTTACTCTCTCTCTCACCACACACACACACACACACACACACACACACACACACACACACACATACACACACTTTGAGACAGCATCTCAATCTCACCATATACTCTAGGCTGGCCTCGAAAGTTTTCAGCCTCCAGAGTGCTGCAATTACAAACATGTACCACCACATCCAGCTATTGAAATACTTTAAAATAACAGTTTTGTAGGCTATACCTTACATTGCTTACTAGATTCTTATTAGTTGCAGTTGAGTGGGTATTCTATTTGCAACTCAGATGCAAATCAAAACCCTATGAAAACCACACTAGCTGTTTACAACTCCATGCATTGGGGGCTGGAGAGGTTGCTCAGTCATTAAGAGCACTTACTGCTGTTGCACAGGGTCTTGGTTCAGTTTTCAGTACCAACATGGCAGTTTACAACTACCTGTAATTTTAGGTTCCAGGGGATCCAACACCCTCTTCTGACCTCTCTGAGCTCATGCATACATGTGGAGTGTGTGTATGTGTATATATATATGTATATATATATATACACACACCCACACTCAGGCACACACAAAATAAGAATTTTTTAAAGTTTCATAAATTATAATATTTCATGACAGAGGCTTGTACTATTGGCCCAGTCAGAGCTCATTTCTCACTTGATGACCCTACAACTCTAGTTCCCTCAGTTGGTACTGAAGCTTGAACACTAAATAGATTTAGGTGGTTGAACCTTAGCCCTTGATTGATTGATATGTGAAAATTGGGTCAGTGATGTCTGAATTCCCTGCTCTCTGGATCAGTCTTGCCAAGTAAAGGAAGAGCTCTGGAGTCCTGGAATTTTGTGACTTGCCTACATCTGTGGAAGTCCCACCATAGCGCCAGCTTGCTCCCTCAGATGGTCTGCTGTGAATGGTGGACACTTGTCAGAAATTCTTAGGTATTAAGACCTGTTGAGAACTTGAGACTGTCTTTCATACCAAGTCTAATGTTTAAGTCTAGATCTAAAAGCAGTTTTCTTTCCTGCTGGATTTTCTTGACTTGTAGTGTCCCTGGTATCCCACCACAGTCTTCTTAACCTTGGCAAAATTACTTCTCCTCTGGATAACAAACAACTACAGGAAACATTACTGAGTTGTCCCCAGGGTCAAGGTTATGAAAGGGAAAATAAGTGGGTGCCTTTGTTTACCTGGAATATTTATGGAGCAGGAAGCACGGTTGATTAATTGCTATTCAAACTAGCTAGAAGCTTTATTGAAAGCAAGGAGTTCATGTAGAAGAATCTGCTTTTTACTCACCCAACTTGTTGCATGGCTGCTGAGATCTGAACCCTGGACCTTAGAGTATGCCACAAGCTCTCTTCAACACCGAACTGTCCTTCCAGATCCCTTACGTGTGTCTTTAGTGCTGATGGGTTTTGTTTGTTTATGTTTTCTAGTCATCATGTTCCTCACAAGAAAAACTTCATCAGTTGCCTTTCCAGCCTACAGCTGATGAGCTACACTTTCTGACAAAGCATTTTAGCACAGAGAATGTACCAGATGAGGAGGGACGACAGTCTCCAGCTATGCGGCCCCGTTCCCGTAGCCTCAGGTAAGGGCTACTCTTACCTACTGCCCTAGTACCTGTGGGCTCCTGCATAGTGCAGGGCTCAGCACGTATGTCCTGCAAAGAGCCACAATGGTAAATGCTTTAGGCTTTGTAGTCACTCCTTTTTATCAAGTTGTGTCACTTTACTGTTGCAGTACAGTTAACTTCCTTTGGTAGCTTACTCAGAAGCTTTATTTACAAAAAGATCACAAACCATAATTTGCTATCTCCTGGTCAAACAAAACCAAAACTTGAGTGAGTCAAGTACAATAACACTCAACCATTTTGGCGTCAGGTGCAAGGTCTCCCCCCCCCCCCCCCCCCGCCCCCCAGATTCCATTCAGTAAAGCAGGATCATGATAATCAGTTCTGAAAACGAGCATGATTTTAATCACTAAATTCCACTTTCCTTAATTTCCTTGGAAATGATGAATTAGCTAATGTATAGGTTGGAATTCCAGAGGAGCTGTATCCTCAGGAAGAATCCCATCAGGTAATGTTGGCACTGGGAGTGACAGGGAGTCATTGGCCATGTCACAAAGACATGGTTCAGACTCACAGACTGAAAAGTGGCTGGGACTTAAATGAAAAAGATCAAGAATACAATGAGAGTCTGGATCCCAGGGATTTTCTTGATTTCATAAAGGAACACCTAGATCATGATGGTCTCATAACTCACAGGGACTATGGGTCCCTTATAAGCCAATTGAGATTGTGAGGACCATAGTGACATTCAGGGAAGTCCCTAAACAAAACAAGGCCAAAGGACAATTCTAAGAGTAACCCAGCTGACAGCTGAGCTCAAGTATCTAGGCACTAAACGGGATATTCAGCTGTTTGACTCAAGATTTGAAATGTTTCAGGAGATACGGCCACAGTGTGCTAGATGGAAGGATACAGGTTGCTATGAAAAATAATTAAAAGGCTGAAAAATTCCTTTCTACTTTCAGAAAAAGACCCTAGATTTAGGACTCATATGGCTTTTGCATCCTCTGGGTGACCGTTAAGGTAGCCCACTGGCTATAGCTTGTTTTAGAAATGAAAATAGGTATATACAGTCTTTCTTTGGTTACTTATTTGATTTGATTCCTAGGACATGTTTGCTTATCCCACTAAGCAAAGCTGTAAGGACAGGGAGTCTTTCTATGAAAGAGGTTATCCTAGGGAAGCCAGCTGTGGGTTGACTGGCAAGCAGACTCTTCTCTTCTCAGCCTTGGCCAGGAGCTGTGTGAAAGCTACACTTCTGGCAGGAAGGTCGCCAGTTTCCACGTAATTCTATTCTAAAACTATACACAAATGTGCTAGGAGCTCTACAAGTAAAGCCTGGAACCTAACTCTCATGAATGTAAGAATATGTGTGATACTAAAGACAGTTGGGACTCGCGGGGCTCAAGGGATAGCCATATTTTTCGTTGATGTTTTTGTGGCATTAAATAACATAATTGTTTCTTTCTTACTCAGTCCTGGGCGGTCCCCAGTTTCCTTCGACAGTGAAATAATAATGATGAATCATGTGTACAAAGAAAGATTCCCCAAGGTAAGGATTTATTTTAAAGGAGAAAATAATATCCAAGGATGGCTACTATAGCCAACCCAGTAGGAAGACTCCAGAATGAGAGGTCAAGTGCAGAAGTATCCAAAAAGATCACCATCTTTAAAGGCATCTAGAGGGGCCAGGGAGAGAAAAGCAGAGGTCTTTACTTATAGAGCTTCTATTTCTCCACTCCAGAACACGTAGTGAGTGGAGGAGAATGTCACATATCATGTGTTAAAGAACAAAGGAACTAGAGATCTGGTTTCCTACTGTGCACATTGCATTCATAACTCGAGGTTGTCCCTAACCTCCTCCTCCCACCTTTGACACACCTTCATTTGACACAGATTTCTTAATGCATACAGATCTGGTAGAAGCAGCAGCCAAGAGAACAACAGGGCAAGAGGCAGGAGCCCTAGAGTTGCTTGCTAACATTCGTGTTTGCATTTTTAAAGTGAGAAGGAAGATTGATCTTATCCCAAGATAGCTAGGAAATAGTACTTACACTTCTGCTGCAAACCTCCTTGTTTGGAACTAGGACATCACTTGCATGTCTCCTACTGCTCTTCCCCTATCCTTTATTTTTTTTAATTTGCTTGTTTGTGTTTTTTGATGTTGAGGGGTTTGTTTATTTTTTGAGTCAGTCTCACTTTGTAGTAGGAATTATTCTAGAACTTGATATTTAACCCAGGCTAGCCTCAGCCTCAATCCTGCCCCAATCTTGTGAATGCTGGGATTATAGACTTGCCACCACAGGTATGAATTTGCAGTTCTGATCAAGAACCACCTGCTGTGTACTCATACTTGACCTTCTGATTCCTACAGAAAGCAGTCAGCCCTGTATTAGTCAGGGTTCTCTAGAGTAGCAGAATTTACAGAATGAATCTCTCTGTAATAGAAATGGGATTTATGGGTTGGGCAGTGGTGGCATGGCCTTTAATTCCAGCACTCAGGAGGCAGAAGCAGGCAAATCTCTGTGAGTTTGAGTCTAGCCTGATCTACAGAGTAAGTTCCAGGACAGCCAGAGCTATAAAGAGAAACCATGTCTCAAAAGAAAAGAAAAAAAAAAGAAAAGGAAAAAGAAACAGGATTTATTAGACTGACTTACAGGCTGTGGTCCAGCTAATCCAACAATGGCGCCTGTGAACATAAGGTCCAATAATTGAGTAGTTGTTTAGTCCATGAGGCTGAATGTCTTAGCTGGTTTTCAGTATACACCAGAATCCCAAAGAAGTAGACTCTAGTGCCATTGAAGGAATGGACTTGCTAGCAAGGGCAAGAGCAAACAGGCAAAAAGAGATGTCTTTTACACAGGCTTTCAGCAGAAAGTGTGGCCCAAATTAGAGGTGGGTCTTCCCACCTCAAAAGATCTGGATTAAAAGTGTGTCTTTCCACATCAAAGATCTAGGTTAGAAGTAGATCTTCTCACTTCAAATGATTTAATTAAGCAAAATTCCTCACAGGTGTGTTCAGCCATTTTTGGGTTTTAGTTCATTCTAGATGTAGTCAAGATGAAAACCACAATAGCAATCACAAGTCCTGTCTGAGAGACATTGGGGGCTAAGGTGCTCAGCCCTCCTCCATCTCCTCTGCCCAGGCCTCCCTGGATTGTCTGTCTGTATCCGGAGGACATGCTTCCTGCTGCTCTCCAAGTCCTTCCCTCCAACTGTACAGTCCACCATACACATGAGAGCTGAGGGAGATGGCAGAAGTGTTCTGTGCTTTTCTTTCTTGACATACACCAGTGAAACCTTTTGTCAGGGACCCAGACCACTTGTATTCATCTCAGCTCCATTTATTAGCTGCAAGATTCTGGACAAAGTATTTAACTTCCTTGAGCTTCATTTGCCTCATTGACAACTCATAATAATAGAACCCTATTAGATGTTCTATCTCATGAGGATAAATGAACTCTTTTTTTAACAGTAGGCAGGACATAAGAAGTACTCAGTAATATTAGCTATTATTCTGTTTAATATGTTCTCTCTGGCCTTCATGTGGTAGCCTTGAAGTATACACAAGAATAAGAACAAAGAAAGAGCAGGAAAACAGCTAGGGAGCCATGTTGTTGTGCTTTATAATGAAATTCCAGAGTGTGCATTGTTGAGAAATGTATCTTTCATGTCTCATCCTCTTTGTACAGAGATACATATTGACACCTAGCACTGTGGGTTGGTATTTATAGGTATTTTTCTTTCGTATAAGATGGGCTATTGTTAGAAAATGTGTTAAGATTCCTTCCATTGCTTCTCTTCATGCTGCTCTCACTTTTTAAAAATCCCTCTGTACACATGCCACGTATAAACATACTTTTGTTTGTGTCAGCATATTGGGAATCAGAAATCACTCAGTGACAAAAAAAAGAAGCCAAGATCCTAGAGAGTTAGGCCAAAGAGAGCTCTGAGCCAGACCTCCATTCCATCCTAGCTTCCTAAACTAGGCATAATCATACCTTCCATACATGTTCTCTGAGCACCTATTGTATTCAGTGTGAACTCATGTTAAATATGAGAGCCCTATGATAATGAAACTCTCTGATTTGCCATAACTTCTTATGCATAGAAAGGTTCAGAAACCAACATCATCTATGCACTGAGTTACCCAGTCAGGAGTCCAAGTTAGAAGCACATAGGAAAGAGAACTTTTGTTTCCCAGGAAGCAGAAGACTTGTCTGAGGATTGATGATGCTTGAGTGAGATGAGGAGCAACAGTAACTCAGGCCAGAACCCAGAGAATGTGTAACCAAGACAATGGCATGAAACGTGGCCAGTAAGAGACTAGCAAAGCTATGTGTCTACAGAACCAAAAAGCTTGCATTACAAAGTGTGGCAAGAGACAGGCAAACCAAGATGATAGAGGGCCTCAGATCTGGTGTTGGGGCTGCCTGACTTACCTGAAGTGACTACTTCATGCCTTATATAATTAGGTTTCCCAAGGTAGCATGAGGAAGTAAGGCATACAGAGATCCCATCCTTCAGAATTTGTTGCAGCTAAGCTGGGACTGGAAGGAAATTAACATCTCTTCTGTTCCCAGGCCACTGCACAAATGGAAGAGCGACTAGCCGAATTCATTTCCTGTAACACTCCAGATAGTGTGTTGCCCTTGGCAGATGGTGCCCTAAGCTTTATTCATCATCAGGTGATTGAGATGGCCCGAGATTGCCTGGATAAATCTCGGAGTGGCCTCATTACATCACACTATTTCTACGAACTTCAAGAAAATTTGGAAAAGCTTCTGCAAGATGTAAGTGTCTTGATGTGGAAACTGATGAAACTTCCACACAGTAATCTCAGTAATTAGCAGTGAGCCCAGCTGCTGGCCACCACCAGGTCTCCTTGCCAGTGTGTAGGAACTTCCAGATTTGGTGCTGTTGAGCTTATATCCTGCCCTAGGCCTCTCCATCACTTGAGAAGTCTGCTTAGTTTCAGAGGAACTCGGTTCTGTGAGTGGTTTTTGTTTTTTGTTTTTAATAATTATTTTTAGGTTATTTACATTGGTGTTTTGCCCGCATGCATGTCTGTGTGAGGGTGTCAGATCTTGGAGTTACAGACAGTTGTTAGCTGCAATATAGGTGCTGGGAATTGAAGCCAGGTCCTCTGGAAGAACAGCCAGTGCTCTTAACCACTGAGCCATCTCTCCAGCCCCGCTGTGAGTGGTTTTCTAAAACCAAAGCTATTACTCTGCCTGAGACTCCAACATTGACAGTTGGAGTCTACCAATACCAGCTAACATTGATAGTCTACGTAAGTATTTGACTTTTTACCAAAAGCAAGAAGTGCAGCAGAGGTTGAGCAGATGTGATGGCCCACACCTTGAATCCTAGCTCTTGGGAAACTGAGGCAGATCCTAGTGAAATCTGAGCCAGCCTAGGCTACATAGTGAGACCTTATCTCAAAACACACACACACAAATAATAATATGAAATACAGTAGTGGATATATGAACTGTCTTCTACTGAAAAAATCACTTATTTCAACACAGCTTTCTAACTATCCTCAACCCAGGGGAAGCAGGGCTAGGGCTTATCCTGTGAGTGTGTCCATTAACTGATATGTCATTAACACAGTAATAGCTCTAACTTTAAAGATATGATCCTCTCCAATATAAAAAGTCTGTGGGAGGAACTGAAAAGATGGCTCAGCAGTTAAAAACACTGGCTGGTATTCCCTAGGAGCCAGGTTGAACTCCCAGTACCCACATGATGGCTCATAGCCGTCTATAACTCCCGTTCCAAGGAATTCAACACCCTCTCCTGACTTCTCCAGGTACCAGGTACAGGCATGATGTACATGCATGCATACATACATACATACATACATACAGGAAAAACACTCATAAACATGAAAATAGATAAAATAAATAAATAAATTATAAGACTCTTAGATGGCTGAAGAGATGGTTTACCAGTTAAGACTGTACTGCTTTTGCAGAGGACTAGTTTGGTTCCCAGCAACTACAACTGCCTGTAACTTCAGCTCTAGCATATCTGACACCCTCTTCTTGCCTCTGCAGGCATTCATGTCTACATACACACAAGCTTATACACATAAATAAAAAGAAAAATGAAAATTTTAAGTCTCTGAGAAATAAAAGACAAAATAACCCAGAGGTAGCCAAGACTGCTACTTCTACTGAGTTCTTAAGCACTGCCTTGCTTAGGTTCTCGTTCACTTTGCTGTTTGTCAGCCTCTCAGGTCAGGTGTCAGCCTTCTCACTCAGCTGATACCATCAACATGTTTGAGGAGAAGGGATCACTTGTTTTTCCAAGGTGCTTCATGTCACTAAGTAATGAAGAGACCCTGTCTCCTCTGGACTCCTCAAGAGTAGTAGTAATGGAGCTGAGGGCCCAGCGCTAATGATCAAATAGGATTTTGGTGTGGATCTAGAAAGAGCAAGGAATTTCAGGGACCAGCTGATCTAGAGACAAATGATTCAAACTGATCATGATTATTACGGCCAAATACTAGAAGACTAATAAGTCAGTCTCTGTACCCTTGAAGAAATAACTCAGTAGGCAGTAGTTACAGTGAGAAAGTTTTATTTAAATATGTTAAAAAAATTCTATCTATAGAAAAATTCTCTGATTTCATAATGAATACTTACATATAAATGTTGTATAAGAGCAACTTGAGGATGCTAGATTCCCATGAAAAACAGTTGTTTCACACTCTGCATTATAAATGTGTATCAATTTGTCTTTGAAAAAGCTGAAAGATAATATAATTTAAATACATTTACTAATATCCTTAGTAATAAAATTTATTTTCAGTTGTAATAAAAAAAAAAAACCAGTTGTTTCTTTTTCAAAAAATTGAAGTTCTGGAGCTGGTAAGCTGGCTCATTAGGTAAATGTACTTACCACCAAGCCTGATGATCCCCTGGACCTACATGATAGAAGAGAAACTTCACATGTACACCATGGCACAAACATATCCACATGCACACAAAATTAATAAAAAAGTACTTGCCTAGTTTGTGTGAGGCCCTAGTAATCCTTAGTACTAGGAGGTGGAGATTTCTAACCAAGAAATAAAATATGGCCAGATGTGGTGGCACTCACCTATAATCCCAGGACTCTGGAGACTGAGGCCTAAGCTACATATTAAGTCTATCTTTAAAAGAAGGGAAAATGTCAAGGGACTGGGAAGATGGGTCAGTTAATAAAGTGGCTGCAACATAAGCATGAAGACCTAAGTTTGGATCCCCAGTTCCCATGTAATAAGCCAAAAGTGATCACATGTCTGCATAACCCCTAGGGGAGGGAGGGGACCCCTGGAGCTCACTGGCTAGGCAATATAGCCAATCAGTGACTGACAGGTTCAGTGAGAGACACTGTCTTAAAAACTAAGTTTGAGCCAGCCTGCTCTACAAAGTGAGTTTCAGGACAGTCAAGGCTACACAAAGAAACCCTGTCTGGAAGAAAAAAAAAAGTTTGGAAGCAACAAAGGAAGATACCCCAATATCACTTTCTAAACTTATGCACCTATACGACAATTGCATACATACAAACATACCATACATATACACCTGCAAAATGAGAAGAAAAAAGTCAACAAAATAAAGAATAGTTTTCTTTTAACCATTTTCTTAATAGTGAGTTGGAAGTTCCCAAAGACATTTAAGAATTAGGAAACTGGGGGGCTGGAGAGACAGCTCAGGTGTTAAGAGCACTGGTTGTTCTTCCAGAGGTCCTGAGTTCAATTCCCAGCAACCACATGGTGGCTCACAACCACCTGTAATGAGATCTGGTGCCCTCGTCTGGCCTGCAGGGACACATGCAGGCAGAACACTGCATACTAAGATAGATAGATAGATAGATAGATAGATAGATAGATAGATAGATAGATAGATAGATAGATAGATAGAT